TATATATATATATATATATATATATATATATATAATTTAAGAATATTGTATCACAAATTTAGAATATTACACTAGCACTCCCCAAAGGACATTTTTCACTTCTGACTTCTTTTCTTCTACACTCTCTGAAGATTAAGGGAAACCCAGAGGAGGAGACCAACCAGATCCTGTTTTAGTTTCAGCTACTGCTTATCGAGGTACGAGAAAAAAATGAGAGATTTATGTGTAGAGTTACATGAGGGAATGGGTGGAGAAGAGTTCCTCTGAAATTTTTAATAATTTTATAATTATTTCTGTTTAGAGAATTATTGGTATTATGAGATTTTGTATGTGTTTAGGATTATGAATATATGCAAATAATTTGTAAAAATGATGATTTGGTAGAGAGAACGAAATCGTAGAAAAGTGTCTATGAGCTAGGTTTTGGAAAACTTGGGGGTTTAAAATTTGACTTAAGATTCTATTAAATTGGAGATTCAATCGAGTTTTATATTAATTTAAAAATTTTATTGTTATATTATTTGGTAAAAATTGATGATCTAATGTGGATTCATGATGAATTGCTTGAGGGGTATGTGAGCTAGGTTTTGGAAAACTTGGGAGTTTAAAATTTGATTTAAGATTCTATTAAATTGGAGATTCAATCGAGTTTTATATTAATTTAAAATTTTTATTGTTATATTATTTGGTAAAAATTGATGATCTAGATGTGGATTCATGATGAATTGCTTGAGGGGTATGTGAATCACTATTTTGTGTGGACTTATCTATTTTGTGTGTGTGATGTGGAATTGAGTTATGGAATGTGGGGTGATGTCTTGGCACAAATGTATACATTATATCTACTGTTTTAGTATTGAATTGATAACATGATGTGGCGAATGGTATGTTATGACTTAATTGTTCAACTAATTATGATGTGGGTATGTTTACATGAAATGAGATGTTGTGTGGAATGTGAATGTGATGTGATTGTGATTCCTCACACTTATGTCGGGGGTGGCACGACCTTTGACAAGAGATGCTATAGGGGTGGCGTGACCTTGGCATAGTGTGGGATGTGTGATTCCTCGTGCTTATGTCGGGGATGGCACGGCCTTGGGCAAGAGATGCTACAGGGGTGGCATGACCTTGACATAGTGTGGGATGTGTGATTCCTCGTGCTTATGTCGGGGATGGCACGGCCTTGGGCAAGAGATGCTACAGGGGTGGCATGACCTTGACATAGTGTGGGATGTGTGAGGCAATTAACACTTATGTTAAGGGTGGCACGACCTTGGACAAGAGATGCTACAGGGCTGGCGTGACTTTGGCATAGTGTTAATTGCAAGATTTGTGATGAATTGGTGTGATTGTGAATTGTGA